TTTCTCTCTCAGGCTCATACACATACTCAAAAGCACACATACACATAAACGTCCCCACCATACACATAAACACACACATACACTTAGCCCATCACACAAACAAACACACGCACACACACACACACACACACACACACACACACACACACACACTCACTTACACACACGTTGTCAAACAACCTTTAACCCGTCGCTTTCCTCCCACCAGGCTTGTGAAACTCCAGAACCAGGTCACTGTGGAACTGGACAAGTTTATGTCCGTCATCCGTGCCTCGTTACGTCAGTTCCGCCAACACCTGGACGAGACGCTCCAGATGCTTCGAGAATCCAACGCCAGGTTCATCAAGTCCTTCAAGTGAGTGTTCTCTGTACAGTTAGCACTTACTTTACTTTTACTTTTACCCGCCGCTTATACCCTTTTGTGTGACACGGGAAGAAAGAGACGTCTCTCTTCCACCAGCCGGAGAGCTTGGGTCAGCAGGAGGATGCCATGAGTTGTTAATATTTCCCTGACTCCCATCTATCCAGGTCTTTTTCGGTCGCCCTCTAGCCTTGTTGCCCTTGAATTTTTTTTATGTAGGCACGTTGTGCTGGATGATATGTTGCTAATCGCATGAGATGTCCGAACCATTTGATTCTTTGGTGTTGGATGTGATGCCTGACATCATTAAATTGTGCCCACCATTTCTCTGTCTACCGACTTTCTAATTCTGGTCTTGTTTGCTGCTTTTCTAAGACATCGCATTTCACATGTTGCAATTCTTTACAGTTAGTAGAGTCCACTTAAACCGAACAGAGTTAATCTGAAAACAGAGGTAAGTAAACCGAGAGGAAAGAAAAACTCTGCTACGACTTAAAACTTCTTCACTGTTGTGTACAAGTATAATTTCACTTGTAATTTTTTTAGGGGGGGGGGGGGGGGTTCTTTCTTAATTTAGAAAAAAAAAGTTAGTGAGAGTTTTAGGACACTTGCAACATAAATGGAACATATAAGTGCCGAAGATTAGAAATGTTGCTAGAGCGTAACATCCCACAAAGAAGAGAATGAGGGGAGATTAGGACAATAAATGTGTGGTATGAAAGAAGGAGCATACCGCAAACCACAGGAAGAGTACCCGCTAATCACACACTTTGTTGTTTTCGATTTGTTTGTTTGTTTGTTCGTTCCGTTTTTTTCTTTCTTTCTCAAACACTATTCATCTGTCAGTTTATTTGTTTATTTATCTATTTACCCATTTACCCATTTACCTATTTGCGTGTTTATTAATTAATTAATTAATTAATTAATTAATTAATTAATATATATATATATATATTTAAAAAATTTATTCATTCATTCATTCTGTATCGTTTATTTATTTCAACCTAGACTGTTCTCCGAGGGAGGCAACTTCTGCCCTGAAGAGATCGAAGAGTACAGGAAGAAGCTGGAGAAGATGTCGACCATGATAGACACGTCAGAGGGGTCCATCATGTCAGACCTGGAGGGGATGGAGTCCAAGAGGCTTGACAATGCCACCAAGATAGCCGTCGAGTTTGAGGACAGGTACTTATGATGATAGACGTCTCTCTCTCTCTCTCTCTCTCTCTCTCTCTCTCTCTCTCTCTCTCTCTCTCTCTCTCTGTATGTGTGTGTGTATATGTGTGTGCGGGCGTCTCTGTGTGTGTGGTGTGTGTATGTGTATGTATGTGTGTGTGTGAGGGTGTATGTGTGTGTGTGTGTGTGTGTGTGTGTGTGTGTGTGTATGTGTGTGCGGACACTTTACAATCTGTATCATTACCCTAGCAGACCCTAGAACTCTCGGAAATATTCTGGATTTCCCTGGAAGCAAACAGGGAAAGCAGCTGATTAAGCGCTTTAACACTGACAAACTGACAAGATTTTTTGCCTATGTTTTATATAGAAAAAACCCCAAAAAACAAATGATCAACCCCCGGGGCAATGCCACTGACTGTAGTGTCTTTAGGTCATTCCCAAAGGGGGGACATTTCTCGTTCAAGCACAGTTGACTTGTAAATGGGCTGATTCATGTCACGCTCATGACTGTGCCTGATCTACAACAGTGAACTGCTGCTTTTTCTTTCTTAATCCTTACTGTTGTCATTTCCCTCTACTTCTTTTGTATGTTTGTCACACTCTTGTGACCTGCTATTTCCGGGGTGCCTTGATAGTCGAAGCAGACCTTGTGCTGTTGAAGCAAGAGAGGTGAGCAGTCTAAGTCTGATTCCCTGTAAAGATTTCTCTGTTGGCACCCACCCCTTGGCGCTCATATGACCTTCAGTTGCGAGCGCCGTAAAACCTTCTACTATAATAAAAAAATAAACAAATGATCAAACTCACATGAGACTCCATATCATCGGCCTTCAGGTTCAAAGGTCACATGAGTGACCTGGTCTTTATGGAGCGCGTGGCTCGCTGGCTGACCAACACCCAGGTGAAGATCAAGGCCGAGGTGGCCAGCAGTAACACCCAGGCCCAGCGACTGGTCAGTCTGCTTGACCAGCTGGAGCGCCGCATCGACGCCTGTGACAAACCCAATCTGGACAAGGAGGTGAGGACAATTTCTTTCGTTGCTGTTCTTATTTATAAATGAATAAAAATCCATAAAGAATGATTTATTGATCACTCTGGGGAAATTTGGATTAAAAAGAAGGCAAACATTCACACGTAAATAGACAATAAGAAATATATACATACACGCATACATACATAAATACATACATAAATACACAATCCTACTCCAATATGGAACAATTTCACTAACATGCCATTGCTGGTCGCCACTGTGCAGCGCCCTTTGTTTGTTTGTTTGTTTTGTTTTTGTTTTTTATTTACAATGGCTATCGTGTCTTGCCCAAGGAACACCCCAGTGACCACCCATGCAAACCCTGCGTCATCGACACTTGCTTGAGATTACTTTTGGGTCTGAACTCATTACTTATTCACTTAGCCACTGGGCACCCCCCCCCCCC